AATTATTAAAATCTGGGGAGTTCTTTAGCTGGGAGACAAAACGGAGCCTTTGGATGCAATTTGGGAAAGTAAGAAAAGAAGCAAGGAGGAGAAGCACGGTTTCTAAGGAATGGTGTGTAGACAGAGAGAAATATTGAGCCAAATGAGGGAAACATGCTCCAAACCTAGCCAAGAACAGAAACTTGCAACTTTGTTTGCCTGCCTATTCCATTATAATCTATATATGTGGTCATTTTTAGTAGACATTTCACTGGATAGTGTATACCACATTAATTTAGTTACACAATATGATTATATTATGAGTCAAATTCTGGTCAGCCTTGGTAAGTCTTTTATTGATTAGAGGGAATTCCAGAAAATATTTCATACACTACTACATCTCTGACTAGTCACATTTTATATAAAAACTACGTCCCCTTTGATTAATGGACTTTTCTTTATTACTCCTGCAGGGTCAGACAGTCCTCTTTCTGCTTGATGCACCACCATTAATAACCATTCCAAAAGTTTCTGCCTGTTCCTCGTAATGATGTATCTAATTTCATCCTGAATAATTGAAGCAGCACAGATTGCATTCCATCCAGCAACTGAGGAAAACGTATCGCAGAAGTCAGCCATGAAGGGCCAAAGTGCCTTTAGAAAATAATAAAGACCCCCCCCCAACCTCTGAAAACATATTACATTCCCTTTTACCTTCATTACTTTTGCACAGATTCATGAAATAGTGCAAATATTATGATTATAAATAAAAATTTAAACTAATATTTTGTCACAAAATAAATAATCATGCTCCTATAATAAGAATTATCACAAACTTTTGGCTGTCTTTTGCAGAAGAATCATAAAGAGATCTATTTGCTGGAGATAAAAGTCACCACAACTTAATCTTATATTCCTTTTACCTAGAAGTAAATCCCATCCAGTTATATGGGGTTTATTGGTATGTATGCTTGCACAAAATGTATGAATACTTCCAAATAAGTAACTGTTTATAACAATGGTTCCCAACCTTTTTTTTAAACCAGGGACTACTTGAACCAGGGGGATCACTTTGACCAAGGACCACTTGATTAGGGCCGCTTTGACCAGAGACCACTTTCCAACATTAGTACCAAAAGGGTTACAAATGAGTTTTTGGTCAACTTTAGATTCGGTTTGAGGTGCTGATTCAGACAATTGCATAGGATACAGATAGACCATATCAGCTCTAGTTTCTGATACAGAACATATGCCATGGTAAGCAACAGAGAAGTAGCAGGTGGCACGAAAGGAGTGGAAATAAAATAAGATAAAGAGGAAGGAAGCCTGCAGACCAGATTTTCGTCCTCATGGCCCACTGGTGGTCCGCAGCCCACAGGTTAAGAACCACTGATTTATAAGATTAGATTGTGTTTACATATTATGGTTTAAATGCTCTTGTTAATACCAACTAGAATACAGGCACTGAATGAATGGCATTTATCTATTCAATGTCTCACAATTCTACTATTGATGTAATAGTTGTATTCCAATTGAGACTAACCAATTGGATTAAGACTTTTGTTTTTGATCTACCACCACAACAATATTATGGAATATGGGATCATGCATGCTCAGCAGAGTTTTAATTCACTTGCTAAAGTGAATTACGCTTTTCCTGGTATTCAAATCTGGCATGGATGTTAGTTTGTAGACATTCATACTTGCAGCTTCAGCAACTATCTAATACCATCTCATTGAGAAAAATATGGTTTGGGCAATATAACATAGTGCAAAGGTTACAGTGGTGACAAGCATACTTAGGATGAATATCAAAAGACATTTCCCCCCTACATCAAATCTTGATATATTTATGCTTCCATGTTCGTGCTCACTCTTCTATGTATGTACTTGATAGAAACACATAATATGCTATAATGAAATATGGATATGTACATTTGTCTCGAAGAATAAGACAGATGTGATGTAATTGCACACAGAGATCTTATTGTCATAAAGATAAAATACTATGTCCCTATACATAAAGATAAAATACTATATCCCTATACATGGCTTACAAAAATTCTTAGAGGTACTATCACTAGTCATTGTTGGAGAGTCAGCTCTGGATTAACTTGCTTTTGAAGCAGAACAATACTTACGTTCTTGCAACCACTTCAAATACTGTATGTCCTCTATTTGAATTTGCAATCCAGTGTGAAAAACCGGGACATCTGGATTTATTTTAGCAGCAAGAGAACATGACATTTGTATTGAAAATCATTCTAAAGCCCAAAGTTTAGACACACAATTATATTTTATCTGTTTTACTATACGATTTTACTAAAACTGCTTAATATAACCAAAATATAATAATATAGTAATATAACCAAAAGGAAATCACAGCATTTCATTGCTACTTCAGGCATAAATTCCACATTAAGTTTTATATGTCTAGATTGTGCTTATAGTTTGTATAAATGTGTTCTTTATTCAGTAAGAAGACTCACATGTACCTAATACAGTCTTTCATTGGATGGCATTGTCTTCCTTGTATTGCCTTTTAGGTCTGGAATTATCTCCTCATCTCTCCTCTAAAGTTGACAGAAGTTTTAAACAAATTTATCAATTGCTCAGTTTTGTTTGATGTGAACTGTTGATAACTTCAGCATTTGGATTTCCCTTATAATTCATAAGGAAGGGGAAAAAACCCAGAAAACTACAATTCAAAGGTAGTTCTTGAATACAACCTAACAGTATCAGTGTCTATTTCAACTTTTTAAAAAGAAAAGATCTACTTATTTTAAATGCACATTAATTAACAGTGAATCCTATTCTTAACATATATACACATCCAGCCCATTGATTTCGACATGGTTCACCAAAGACTGCAAATTAAATAAAAGGTATCATAATTAAAATGTTGTAAATAGGTTTTCACATTGATTTGCATTAAATGAAGCTAATTACATTTGTTTATATTTGCTTGCCCCTGTCTTGATAATGATAATACAAATGCACAAAATCTTTAACCACACAGGTTGCCATATACAACTGTCACCATGTAGAAAGTGCCTTGCTATATGAGTTGTGGAATTTCCATGTAAACTCTAGGTGTTCTTGTTCCCAGATGAAAGTGGCATACAGAATGACTTCATTACATGAATACTTCCAAACTTTGTCTCTGAGAGAATTAACCATAAAATGTAGACTCTTAAAGATACATCACACATTGGAGTTCTAGAGATATATCAACTATAAAAGGAGTAGACTGTTATCCATAGAACATGACATTCCCTTCATATCTTCCTCTGCAGACTCCAGAGCACCTACAAATCTGCTCCAGAGAATTCTGGTTCAGGGAGGGAATTTGACAGTGGACTTGTCGTACCCCATGAAGAACCTCACTGTTTACCCCTAGTTAGACACTTTTTAGTTAGAGGGATTTGAATCCTCCGTCACCCCATCCTTTTAAGAATCCCCTCAGGGGTGGAACCTCAGGCAAGACACTTCTGGTTCTTGGACAAGTCAGCCTTTTCATGACTGGAAGGTGAAGAGAGAGTAAGGTTGGAAAGTCTATAAAATAGCACGTCTAGTTGGAGATGTGTTCAAATCCAGTCAGAGCTGTATTGAAGTCCAGTTAGAGTTGTATTCAAGTTCAGTCAGATCTATATTCAAGTCTAGTCCTAGTTAAATATTGAGACCATCTTAGAGACAGTTGAACATCATACAAGAAAGAGACAATAAGAAGAAATAAAGATTCAAGAACCTTCTCAGTTCATCCAGGCCTGTGTCTATCTCTCAAAGACTTTATCTTTCCTCATAAAGATTATGTAGTGAAACTCAGGAGGAGAAAAAGTCTAAAATTCTTGTCAGTTAATAAATTCTTATTTGATTCAACTATATAGTCTCTGATCTGTTCCCTGACAGCCAGTTCACTTTCCAAGTAGTTAATGTAGCGTGAGGGCAGAACAGGAGTCCTTCTTGAGGAGAAAGCATTATTAGATACAACAATTAAGATGTTGCCTAGTCCTAACCACTGTTTTGGTCTCAATTTTATATCTGAACTATTGTCTGGTTGAAATCTTTTTTCAAGAGTATATTTTTGAGGTAGTGCTGATAAAACACTTTAGTTGGTATTATCCAGCACTATAGTTTTAAGGCAAGGTCTGATCAACTGCACTTTGCTACTGAATTGCATTGAACCAGAAGTTTGCAGATTTGGACCTTACCATCGTTGAAGTTTCATTAGAGCTGTTTGTAGATTTGGAGACAGAATATTCTAAAACAATGTGATTCTGTTTTGTTGAATTATCTGAACTGATCCAAACTGAGCTAATTTCATATTAGGGTGGCTTTAAGAAAATGCTCACAAGTTCTGTTTGCTCACAGAACATTCAGCCCTTGTGACCAATCTGTCATTTGTTGATCCTTAATACAAAATAAAGGCCTAGTTCTAGTTGAGTCAAGGTGAGCGCAACATTCATTTATCATCAGGCACTCTGGACTTGTGATAACATTGCAGTAGAGAGAGATGGTAGCAAGCTATCTTCACATGACTTAGGCAATATAAGTTACTAGGTTCACAGTGCAAGAGGCGCAAGGGGCAGCATGACAGTGACAATTTATGTGTGTACTTCAGAGCTTTTTACAAATCAAAAGCTCACAAGAAGCTTGTATCTCTGGAAACAGGTTATTTGAAAAATCCCAAAGGTATGACCCCTTTCAGGGCAAGCAACACGATGTTTGAACATTCTTATCTAATACGATAAAAATTTAGATTTTTTTGGAGCACAGCATGAGCTGGTTTGGAATGTCTGGGAAAGTGGTAAGATTGAGGGGTATAAAAAATAATAGCAGAAGAAAAAGTCCAGGTACAGTTTAGGGTATTGAGAAGTCAGATTGTTTTGAACCAACTCACCTATACAGTGCATCTAAAAAATCCATGTAGATTTTGTGTCAAAATGGAATTAATTACACCTATTACTTCCAATGTCTAGCTGCTTAGATGCTACCTTTCTATGCCTTTAGTTAAGACTTACTTTCATCTCCAGTTTCAAATTCAAACTTCTGGCTATAGCCGCTGTATCCTGTTGCGGTCCTGACTCTGATATGAAATATGTACTTGGTGGCTGGCTTGAGGCCTGTGACGATAACACTGGGAGCCTTCGACCTTGTGGAGGAATAGCTCAGCTGCTCATGCTCCTGAGAGACAAAAAAGGGGGAAAGGGGGAAATGATGTCAAGCTGAGTTGTGAAAGCTGCATAATAATAATCTTTCAGAACTAAATTTCTTATGAATGTCAAAGAGTGTTCATTAAAGGGGCGAAAGCTGTCACGAAGATGTATAACACAACCTAGCCTTGGATATATCTTAAATGTTGTGTTATCATTTATAAAGTGAGAACTGTGTCCTTGTGAATTGGGTTAGTAATTAACTGGAGTCAAAATAATATGAAATTAGAATAAGACTACATCCAAAGAAAATGGCAGCTAAAATGGCAGCTTTATATGTTGAAAATGGACAAATTAGGATTTTAATAACTATTAAGAAAATTTAACATGTAGATGTGGGAGTATTCAAATGTCCACTACTCACTTCTACCCGCAGGTAGTGCCAAAATGCCGGCGCTATCCGTGGGTAGACCTGTGGGTAAAAAGAAAAAGAAAATTAACTCTCCGTGTTTAGTTTTGCAAACTTGACATAGGGTTTTATAGTCTCACTGATTTGGGAAGTTATATCTACATCAATGTATGTATGTATGTTTATGTATTTGGTTAAACTATATAGCTCACAAAATAAAGTTTGGGAGAAAAAAATACACCTGTTTACCAAGTATCTATGTATTTAGGAACTGCTTCTCATATTTCATAGGAATACAATTTTAAGGGTATACATGTATGTATACCTGTACATAACGTGTCATGTCAACCCCCACAAAGTCCTGCACAGATGTCAGTTGTGGAAGTATCTCTGGGAATTTGAAAGATATGCCAACCAAGTACAAAATTTTTGTAAGGCCGATCAAACTGGTAAAACTCAAGAGCACTGGTCCTGTAGAACCATCTAAGAACTGTCCTAGCAAAGTACAAAGGGTTGGCCACCATGTGAAGAAGTCATCATAAGAACTATGGATGCAAGGATAATACAGAATAGCTGTACTCTGTATTGCCAGATTGACTATCCATCCTGATAAAATCACAGATCTTCAAGGTATGACATATAAAGAACAGAACAAAGTCAAAAGACACAGTACACAAATAAGAGGGTTGGGAACTGACAGTGATTATAACAGGCCTCTTTATTTGTTAATTACGGTTCCCTAATTGCTTATGAAAGTTACAGCTTTTTAGTAAGCAGTGCAATGAGGTCATGTGTTGACAGTCCTCTAGGAGTTCATCATAATCATGCCTATTTCATTTTGCATGTAACTGCTGATGAAATTAGTCAAAGTGCTCATCTTGCTAGGGCAACAGCTCAAGGCCTATGAAGGTCATGATTTTTAAAAATAGAATTATTCAGAATGCTGTTTGTCAGACACTCTTTGGTACCCAGTGGCTTGAATCCAACACAGTTAAGCAAGAGTCACTGTGTTGGAACTAATAGGAGATGTGTTGGTTGTGGACACAATAGATATACCTGCCTTTGGAGGGTTTGAAGAAATAACTTATGGAGCAACCGGTTCATATGCTTTATATACATTTAGAACAAGAAGCATATTTCAAATTCATTCATCAACTATCATCTCTGTCTCCCTGGATTTTCATACTTTCTATGTTGCTGAATTTCTTGTCTATAATTCAAATAAGAATAGAAATGTCCATAAGCATCCATATAACATATACCTTGGCACCTACAGGACACCATAAGAATATGGAATGTGGTTGTTTGTTTATGATAATGTGTCCATCAAGCTAACAGAAGCCTTTCTTATCCTGTTAATCATATTATCTTGGTAAAAATAAATTTGACTTAAAACATATGCAGCAAGGAATGGGGAAGAAAAACAAAGGACTGGAGCTTTGGATAGTTTATTTTTGAAATAAAGCACCATGTTGTAAAACGTATAAATACAAACATAAATTCTTTGGCCTAGCTAACTCTAATCTAATGCAGCTGAAGTGAAGTGATTTATGACACAGCAAGCTTTTTAACACTGATCAGGAGAAACAGTGCATCACCACTACTATCTCAGCAGTAGAAAATGGATGTAACAATTGCTGCATGGTTAAGTTGTACTCTGCAGGGAAAATAAAGCACCGGTGGGGGAAAAATTAAATGATCGGTGATGCTCATATTTCAAAATAGGGTAGACTATTTTTTAAAACCCTATACTGTAGGGTGTCTTCAAGTTGTTATTTATTTTTTTAATGAAGCCTAGAGTATATTATTAGATTTTTCAATAGGAATCAACATGTAAACTGAACAAGGAAGATATAAAATATTTATATACATATAATTGGAATATGCAAAGGAAACCAACAGCAAACAGAATATTATAGGGCTATATTCCCTGAAACCCAATTAAATTTTGCCTGTTCAACAAGTGTTAAGATTATGGCAAAAACAAGAAGGCAATCAGACTTTGTTAAAATTCATGTATGTTTGCAATAGAAGATACCGTGGCTGAAATGCCCTTTGCCCTTAAAGCTAGAATGTACTGTAATGAAAAAATGTAATGAAAACATTCGCTTACATCGTAGAAAGCCTTTAACTGTAGGCAGATAACAACTTCCACATCTGTTTTCAAAACAAAGTTGAAGAAAAGTTTCCAAAACACTTCTAGTGTTTAGTAGGAACGTTGGTTTCCTTTTACATCTTGCAGGCAAAAGGAAAAATTCAGATCTACAACTCAAAACATTTAGATATGAATCTCTACTGTAAAACCTCTATTTCAGTGGTTCCCTACCCATGGGCCACAGCCCACTGGTGGACCGTGAGACCTAAAATAAGGTTCGCAGCTCTAGATTATTAAATATGGTTTTCTGTTAGCGAGCAGATGGCGACTACTGGATGGCATATCATCTGCATCAGAAACTAGAGCTGATGTGGTCTATCCAATGCAATTTTCTGAATCAGCACCCCAAATAACCAAACCGAATTGACCGAAAACTGATTCATAATCCTTTTGGTACTTATGTTGGAGAGTGGTCCCTGGTCAAAGTGGCCCCTGGTAAAAATGGTCCCTGCTCAAGTGGTCCCTAGTCAAAGTGGTCCCTGTTTCCTGGTCAAAAATGGTTGGGAACCACTGCTCTATTTGATAAAAATCACTCAGGGCAAGTCTACACTCTTATTACAGGAACTCAGCAATATATTCATTTTCATGAAGAAATGTACAGATAAAGCATTCCTCCCGTTTTCTTCATGACTAAGGCCCCTTTCACACAGCTGAACCCCCCCCCCCCCACATTTTCTGCTTTGAACTGGACTATATGGCAGTGTGGACTCAGATAACCCAGTTCAAAGCAGATATTGTGGGATTTTCTGCCTTGATATTCTGGGTTATATGGCTGTGCAGAAGGGCCCCAAGAATGATTATTTTATCAGTTTCTCTAACTAATAGGAACATTTATACTCCTTGTGGGACCAAATCCAATGCATTTAAGTAATCTAAAGCATATTTCAGAGAAACACTGTGGTCTAAGGATATCATTTAGATAGTACAGTAATTCAAGTCAACCCCCATGCAAACCCATTGGGTGGCCATGGGTAAGTCACTCAGCTGTTGAGGAAGGAAATGGCAAACCTGTGAATAAATTTTGCTAGGAAAAGTCTGTAATAGGGTCTCCATAAGTCACAGATGACTTAAAAGTTAAATAACATTTGACAAAATGATAAAAATAATAAATGAATAAATAGAGCCTGAAATCAAATGTTGTAATGTGGAGTTCAGGTTCACAGCAGTCACTCATCTGCCAGGGAAGTCCATTCAGTCCTTCCCTGCCTCTTCTGCTTCTTCCCTCTTCTCTGAATTACAGTCAGTATCTTGCTACCAAGTGTGTTCTACCCTTATTGAGCTGGGCACAACTATTCACACAATATATAATTAAACTATGATAGTCACTGCTACAGGAAGCAGTTATGGACACCAAGGGTGGAGGGTTTTAAAAACAGATTAGATAAATTATAATGAAAATTTGGATCATCCACAACTATAATTACGGAGTGCATAGACCTACACCTGCATCAGAAGTAGTATGCATAAAATAAATAATCATAAATACATCACTTCACAGGGAACTTTTAATATGGTGATTTTAATCTGGCAAACTAGTGTGTGTGTGTATATATATATATATATATATATATATATATATATATATATATATATATATATATACACACACACACACATACACACACACATACATACACACACACACACACACACACACACTATTTTAATGTATATGGGTATATTTATTATGTGTTTTATATCATGTTTGGCATTGAATTGTTGCCTGTTTGGAAGCCATTCTGAGTCCCTCCTCGGAGGTCAAGAAGGACGGGGTATAAATGCTTGAAATAAATAATAATAAACAAACTTGAGATGGAAGGTAAAATGGCAGCTATGCCCAGCTGCCAGGTTTCCCACTGTTTTTCACTGAGTGAATGAGATGCTTTTGGTACGACCAAGCATAACTCTATTTCCTTTCTTCTTTCTTTGTGTATTTTTAAAAAATGTTGAGATTCTTCTGAGGCTATTGTTCTGCTCACATAAAGAACTATACTTTCAAAATGGTTCACAAGTAGTCTATAGATCATCTGAGACACTGAATATATGAATGTTGAGATTTGATAACTAGTTGACATATGGGGTTTCCTCAGGGAAATTTTTAACCTGATGGATGTTCAACAATTGCTAATGCTTTTCTGCCCATGATTGAATATTAACTTTCATAAGCAAGGCATCCATTCTAATGTAACAGATAGGGCCATGGTAACCAAATATTAAATACTGGCTTCCTTAATTAAAATTGCTTGCAATAGTTTTTCACAGCAAAGATTATCAAAGTATATTGGAATAATAAATCACATGTTTTTTGCTCCCCTCTGTACTCTGGAAAAGAAGTTTGTTGCTTGAAATCAGGTTGAAATCATGAATATGCATTTCGCCCTTTGGAAGTTTTAGATTTAATTTCCAGCCATTGCCTTAGCAAAGCTGCCACAAATTTGATAAAGAATACACACAAATAATTGAGCAG